ACGAATGAAGAGAAGAGAGGAGGAAAGGGCGGATGGTGAATTTGAGTAAGGGAAAGGGGCAATTTTTTAGGGTATATATAGTGTGTAAGTGGTGTGTACTAAAGTGTGTACATAAAGCAAATTTGATTTAAAAAATATTAGTCGATGTGTACCTTTTAAACTTGTTATCTTCAAATAATTTGATAAAATGTTATATATCGTTTTTTTAATAATTTTCCTTTGATTTGCCATTTCTTACTCCTTAATGTGTCAATACTTTTTTCTACAACACTTCAATTATAAATCAATGTTATATTTCCATTGTCTAGACTTAGAATGTAATGGATTTAAAGTGTAAAAATGTCGTCGTGTATGTATTAATGGAATTTTTTTGAATAAAAATAGCCGCATAGCCTACACTAGTGGGAAAAATTCGTCCCGCTACATTAGCGGAAAAAATCACCCCGTTACACAAGTGGGAAAAAAATCACTACCCTACTCTAATGAAAAATATTTCGCCCCCACTTAACTCGAAATCCTGGATCCATCCCTGTCTGTTTCCATCCATGTCTGTTTTCATCCCTTGTTCGCCATTTTACCTATTGCGAACTCATGGATTTTCACTTCAAAATTTTCAAAGATGAAAAAAAAATGATTATGTTGCATCTTCAAAACGAGAATTCAATTCGCCATATTCACATGCATTGCCCCCTGCTCCTTCCGTTTTGGAGAAGGAGTGTGTGCTCACACAATAAAAGTGTGAGACGTTTATAGAAGACAACGGTGAAGAAGAATCTGAGTGTTATGGGGGATGGACGTCAACAGAAAGTGATCTTAGATGGACACTCCAATGGATGTATCATGTGCGATTGTCCTGTCGGGATCTGACGAAGAAGGCATGTAGGTGAATTCCTTTGAAGACCACTTTCTTGATCTACAACGACTACAAGTGCATGTTTTCCAAGACTCTCCATAGCGGAAGTAATTGTTCTGATTTTACTCAAAGTGTGTATGACTTCCTCTGTGTTATACTATTATGTGTTCAAATTTGCACACCTGATTGGAATATGTGTGCACTAATGTTTATCATTTGCCCAGTGAGTGTCGGAAGGTTATTATAAAAATGACTTTTGTGTTGTTTATAGCAAAATGACTGCCACACATTCATTTATGTGTCGAAAAATGCACATTTTTTACAAAAAGCATAGTGCAAAAAATATATTGCCCCCTACATTCAAAGATTATGGTTTGACATCTATTGAGACTTCATACGAAAAAAATAGTGTGTGCGTATAATGAAGTGCATACAAAAAATCTTCAATTGATTGTCCGACAGAGTTCATTCTTGAATATCACATACATCTTCACTTATTAACTCAGTTCGAGATCATTCTTGGTCCCCTTCTGCTTCCATGTTTGTGACTTGTGTTCTTGGTGCTTCTGATTGCATTTCAATGAGTGTAACCTTATATTCATCCAGTAAATCATGACGTGTCTCCACATTATTAACATACCCTGCTTGTGTAATTTATCCTTGCCAACATGTTTGAGGGGAAAGTCATTTTCACCTTTGGCAATGTGTACTTATTCTATGACAAATTAATAAATTTAGAACACTTTGTTCAAAATATAGGGTGTGAACTCATCAAAAGTATTTTGAACTACTTGAGTTAAGTCGGCAATAGTTTTCGGGGATTTTTGTTCTTTTAGTGAATCAATAGCATGAAAAAACTCAAGCCTAGGACATTCAAATTTGGGTTGTTTGATGGTTGGAAAGTTAGGTGTATGTTCCGGTCATTATCAATTGCAGCTTATCAATGTTCTTAGGTGTATGTCACACCCTTGCCTTATCTAACTTAATAAATACATGATAATTCAGTCCTCAACAACAATCGTACAGAATAATCAGGAATAGAGAAGAGCTAAAATAATACTCCCTCCGTCCCGAAAAGGTTGGCCAAAGTTGACTTTCATGTGGATTAATAAAGTAAAAACTGTGTGGTTGAAATTTGTGCAGAGGAAAGATAATTAACTTTAGCCACATATTCCTTACTTTAAATGGAAATGACAAATCTTTTTGGGACATCCAAAAAAGGAAATTTGGCCAACCTTTTTGGGACGGAGAGAGTATTCAATACCAAACAATGATTTCTGAGTGAGTTCTGTACAGGGTATAAATATCGAACTAGTAGTTGCGGCTCTTTCTCTATTCTACGTAGTAATTCCTCTCGTAAATTTTAGCCTAGGTATACATACATTAGCCTCCTTTTACAGGTGAGAGGCTAACATGTGTATTACACTACAAAATGGGCCTTGAACAAATGAACATGGCATAGCCTAGAGCTCTGATGTTCTTTCTTTGGTGGAGAAGGATACCTTTTATCTGTTACTACGTATAAGTTAACAGGACTCTTTTTCTTCCCACATTTCTCTTGTATTGGCTTTGCACATTATTAGGTCATCCATCATGCATTTGTGTTTCAGCTCTGGCCCACAATTTATTGACTGTACGCCTTAAATAGTTGAACTACAAAGTTGTTTTCCTCACTATGCCTTTCTGAAGTTTCCCATCTCAGTAATATGCTAGCAGTGTTTCAACCATTTTTTTTTGTGAATTGGTCAGTTTGCTACATGACCTTTAGTGTGCATGCATCTCTTTATGATGTAGGTATGGTAGGGGCAACTTCAAAGGAATTTTCAGGTTGTTGACCACTTTCAAAGCAGTCAATGACATTTAAGTGGGTGCTTGCTGTTTGGGAGAGAACCACAAAAAGCTCCATGGTTATGTAAATGAATTATGGGGGTAATTGTAGGCATTTATGTTTACAAAATGAAGGGAACTTTAATTTTCATTAAAACAAATCCCTCTAAAAATGAGGGAGATTGTCTCTGCATTGTACCCATTCCGTGGCTTTTTATTTGTGAGAGTATCGTTTTACACTATAGACTTGTCAAGTCGGCTGCCATTTGCTTTTGTTATAGTGAAAATTCTTATTCCTTATTCCAGTTTCTTTCATATGGGTTGGGGAAGTATCCCGGAAAACCTTTAACACTTTTTCTTTTGCATAAAGATGCGCGAAAGTCAACCCGAGAAATTGTTTCCAAGACGCGGGGAGTAAATAAAATTAGAATGAAATATATTTTTTGTTTTAATTTTCAAATAGAATTCATATAGTTTTACCGCAAGAATAAGTTGATTAAAATTTTATATAATAGGAGTGAACTAGTGTTGAATTCGGACGTTGTTTCAGTGGTATTTGTATTTCCTATATGTAATTTTATTTTAAGAAAAATAGCCTTAAAAAGGAGTAAACTAGTTTCTAAATGTACAAATAAGACTATGATATTTATCTTTTCAAAATAGGACTAAAGTGTGCTCTAGCTTCCTATTCTATCCTTGTGATTCTTTTAGTAGGGAAATCACATTTTAACTTGTAATAAAAACATAAAAATAATAATTTATAATAATCGTAAAAAAGTACAAGAAATAAAATAAAAAAGATGTTACAAAAATACAATCTGTTAAAATAAATGAAAAATAGATAAAAGAAAAACAAAAAAAATATATAAGAATATTGAGAACTTTCTCACTGTGCTACTCGACTCAGACCAAACGGTTCGATCAATAGATACAATTTCTAACTTGCCCCAAGTATCCAAAACTTACTATAAATATCACCATACAAGTTCAATTAAATACTCCTAGTATTAACTAATTAAAGGGGCCTTCAATTAATTGTTATGAATAATTGGGAGTATATGTGTTCTGGTTGGCACACACTTGCTTTGCTTAAAATCATGATAGAGGTCAGTTTAAAAAATCTACCACTACTTTTTAAAAGCATGTATATATCATAAGCTCAGAACTTATCACATATTGATGTAATCAGTTCTTTTTAATCTATCATAGAAATTCAGTCTTTGAGATGAAGAGCCTAATTAGTTTTAATTGACTATAACCCTTGTCCTCAAGCATGTGCGCAGCATATTATCAAGCAAGTGTTCAGAATCTTAATCCATCTAAACATTCTTTTATACGAAGTACATTAGTATAGATTATAGAACTACCATATCACAAATGTTAAATCTTCTAATCATGAATACTCGAGAAAAGGGTCAAATAAGGTTTTCTACTATTATGAAATCGTCACATAAGGTCATGTACTCAATAAAGTGTCATATAAATACGTCTACTTATAAAAAACAATCGGATGAGCCCTAATGACCCATTGACAACCTCTTAATCCTGATTTTAGCTTACGCGTCAATTGTTTTGACTTGTATTTCAACCAATCTTAGGTAAATATTCGGCGTGTGCCATATAATCTATTATAAAAAGATGGTTTCAAGAACACTAAAATCGAGATTAGGAGGTTGTAAACAGGTCATTAGGACTTATGTGATTGTTTTTTACTAGTAGACGCATTTATATGACACTTTATTGAGTACATGACCTTATGTGACGATTTCATAATAGTAGAAGACCTTATTTGACCCTTTTCTCTGAATTATGGCTGGACTCGGGCCGGTTCGGGCCCGGTTCGGGCCTTGGGCCAGAAAATTGGGGCCCGAGCCCAAACCGCCGGTGGCCGGTTCCGGTTCCAGTTCCGGGCCAAACCGGGCCGGGCCGGGCCAAACCGGTCCATATATATATATTTTTTTGGTTCTCCTATTTAACCCCCTACCCCTCCCCCTCAACCCCAAACCACCCCAAACCACCTCAAATGGCCCAAAATACCTAATCCAACCCAAAACTTAAAAAAATTTCAAAAAAAAAAAAAAAAAAAAAAAACGGCCCAGACCGGGCCCGAACCGGCCGGTTCGCCTAAAGCAGGGCTCGAGCCCGGACCGCCCATCACCCGGGCCGGGCCAAACCGAACCACTGGACCCACCGGGCCCCGGGCCGAGCCGGGCCAAACAGTAACCGGGCCGGGCCAGTTCCGGGCCGGGCCGCCCGGCCCGAGTCCAACCCTACTCTGAATACTCTATCTCATCCAATTCACCCGGACACCCAATTAATCAATTATGGTTCTTAGATTCAATATCCTCAATTGCTTAAATATGTGCTCTAACTACTATAGATGAGATCATGCGACATGCATGCATACACACGCATGCATATGTTAAATAAACTATGCAAAACAATAGTAGCAATTTCAATTTATAAAACAACAAGTAAAAATCAGCAAGATCATAAGCAATAGCCAGTATCTTCATTTGTATAAAATGAAATATCCAATTCTACAAGTTCAGTACTTCCTTGAAGCAAGACCCCCAGGAGCAACTTATAGTAATTAATTTATACTCGTCAAGACTTGCAAAAAGTCTAATTTGAAATCACCACAATGTGTCGTCTTCTAGGTTGAACTTTTATCTTTGACCTCCTGAGCAATAACATCAGTCACTAGAGACAGTGGCCGTTGATCAATGACCTCATCAATTATCCCAAACTCTTTTGCCTCTTCAGGGGTCATAAAATAATCCCTATCCATGTTTTTCTGAATTATTTCCACAGATTGTCCGGTGTGTTTTGAGTACAACGCATTTAGGGCATCCCAAACCCGAACGATCTGTTTTGTGTGAATTGTCATATCTTTAGCTTGTCCACTGTATCCACCAGAAGGTTGATGAATCATTATTGTAGCATTAGGGAGAGACCGCCTCTCACCCTTGGCTCCGGCAGCTAAAAGTAGAGATGCCATAGATGCTGCCTGACCTAGGCATATAGTATTAATGGGAGATCGGATGTACTGCATCGTATCATAGATAGCAAGACCTACACAGAAAGAAAAAAAGGCAAGAGAAATGTTTAATAAAATCATACTTTGGGGAAGAGATTAATGATTAAAATACTAAGGGCCTGTTTGGTAGTCGATTTTCGTCTTATTGGCCTTGTGAGACAACCTTTTTACCAAACAGTGAACTTTTGATTTTCGCGCTGAACTCCCAAGGGAAGGTTTCAGAAATAGAAGTAAAAACAATGTAAAATTCCGACTATAGGAGTACTATAATTCTCCCTAAATAGGAGTAAGTCATCGCCATCTTATAATTTTACTTCCATATTTTGGCATTACTAGGCTTTAAATATGGTAGTATACTGCATTAGTTAGCAGTATTTTCCGAGAATGACAGTAATTAATCAAAATAATGTTTAAAGGGAATAAAAACATAGTGATCCCATTTTGAAATTCCAAGGCGTTTTACCCCTACTTAGGACAATTTCTTATTCTCTGGTAATCAACATAAGTAAGGCCATAGTTATTTTTCTGGCTAAATTGGTTGATTTTCTGAATATGAGTATTTTTAGCTTTTTCATTTTTTTCTTTATTTAATTAAAAATATACAACCTTCGTCCCTTTTTATTTAGGGAACTTTGACTTTTCCAGCCAAAGATGATAAACTTTGATCCATTATTTTAACTAAAATATCTATGTCAAACTTAATAAATTTATACTTTTATGATAGTGTTTTTAACAAAGAACATTTTCATATTATATTCATGTTATCAATATCATTGTGTATAAATATATAATCAGTCAAAGTTTAACATCATTGATTTGGAAAATGGTGTTTGGCTAAATAAAAAAAGACGGGGGGAGTATATTTCAAACTTAATTTTTTTTTATCTAGCGGATTCAACCAATTCAGCCATATCGGCCAGAACTTCAACGTCACAAAATTGGCTTTGAATGAAACTCATGCTTATGTTTACTATACTAGTAAACATTCTAAAAGCATCCTGGTGGAATGTGCTGCCTCACATATAAAGCATAAAAAGCTTACTACGGATTATGGTCACCATTTAAATGCATCAAGTGGGAGAATTATGCTTCAGAGCATTCCAGGTTGAGTTCTATTTACTCTATTAGACACTCATCATTAAATTCTGGCTCTTTTTTCATTTTCTTATGTTTTCCTTGTTCACGTGGTACATTGTTCCATTCTAGGGAAGTCCCTTTTCTGCATTGGTGTTGTTTGAGATTTTTTGTCAATGATAATGACAGGCGCTCAACTTTATCAAAAAAGAATAGTCAGAGCAGTTGAGAGAAACTTGAAAGTTCCGCTCTTAGTTCTTGATAACAGCATTCTAGCTTCCTATGTAAGTAATGGTTCCCTACCTAATGCTTATTTTTTTGCTGCTAAATTAAATCAAGAAAACCTCCAAAGACTTTCTTTATCCCCATAATCAGACAATTGTTCTTGTCCAGAATTTCACTGAAGATTGCTCTTCTGAAAGTGGATCTAACGAGGATGCAGAATCTGCTGAAGAGTATACTTCAGAGTCTGAAGCTGAAGATGTTATTGATGATGCAGCTAATGATGAGGAATGGGCAAACAATGGAGAGACAAAGTCTGAAACTAGTGATGATGAAGGGGATGCCCGCAAATCTGTTGAAGCCTTGAAGAAACTTGTCCCATACGATCTTGAGAGCTTTGAGAGGGTAATTTATTAAATTGGTGTGAATTGGAAATTGAGAATTGTGTTTAATCTTCAGAATCAAAATTGGGCCCAATAAAATCATTCATCAACGTGTACCCATTTGTGATGGAAAGGTAGTTTCTCGTGCAGGGAAAGTGGAGTATTAAATGGGGGAGACCTAAATGTAGTTGATGTAGATGAAATATGACACCCATTTGAGGGAAGTGAAGGTCGTATATGTAAATGGTACTACGTAATTGCTTGGTAGAAACAATTTAAAGAAGGTATTTGTGAATGACCTCACCTTAGAAACATATGACACTAATATATGTTTTCGATTGAATTAGAGTCTACAAAATATAAGTTTGAGCTTAGATTTACTTCTTGAGCACTAGTTTAGGCGAGTTGACCCTATTTAATATGATATCAGGTTTAGATAATGGTTTCTGGGGCCGCCCACAGTATGTGTCAAACATTCCACAGCTGCAATAGAAAATACTTTCCAAAACTAATGCAGCTGCAATAGAAAATACTTTCCAAAACTAATGACAAAGGGCCCATCTAATGAAGCAGTAATGAACTTATATTTAAATATTTAATTGATTTAGATTTGATTCACACTTTTCTGCACACTTATGGATCAGAATATACTAATATGTGTTTGTTGAATGTATGAATAAAATTGGAAAGATTTACAGATCATGTGCTAAATCAAAGGTTTTAGATTTATTGGAAATTGGAAAAAACTTGGAGCTATTTAAATAGGGTCATTGGGTAAATGGAATCGAATACTGAGATTAATGTAAAGTACTAACACAATGTGATGGCGAAAAATAGGGATTAATTTCTGTTTTGAACATACATGAACAAAATTTATAACAGATCACAATTTATGTGCTAAACTAATGTTTTAAGATTGTACTGTCTAACTAAGTTTTAAAAAAAATCAGGGCAATTTCCACTCAGCCTAAAGTGGTGATATGTACATAGAGATGCTAGAAAATATTAATACACACATATACAAATATATGTGTGCCCACAAGAGTGAGTGTATGTGTATAGGCAATTGTGGTTAGCGTGCGATGACCTCCCTGACCCCCTTAGAGTGTGCCCTGTTCATGCGACATTTATTTGAAAGGACTCCTCCATGACGGGTCTAAATTGTACTGTGTCAATAAAACAGCAGTCAATTTGAATTTGGCTTAATGACTTATACTTTTGAAGACTTCTGATTTGGTCTCTCATACTTTCTCACTTTTAATTTCAACAACTGTATTGAATTTGTCTGCAACTCTATAATTATGGTCAACTCCAGAATAGGCTATATGAATTGACAGCCACAAATGTAGTTGTAGCTCAACAATTAACATGGTAAATGAAAGTATCACCGTAGATAACTATCTAAATCGAAGAAAAAATAATCCAACTGAACTGTGACAGGTGCAGAAGGAAACAATTTCTGTCTTCGTTTGAGCTCTACTTCACATGTTATAGTAATGATATGAATCTTATATACAAGAACGCATATGCCCTTTCAATTCAATTACTTTAAAGCATCTCAGGAGTAAGAAATAACATAAACAAAATGAAGACAGGCATCGAGGCATCTCAACTACCCACTGGACTGCAGATTTTAAAACTTACCGGAAAATATGAAAAGAATTAAATTCAGAAATAAACTAAACTTGCCTGCTGTGACGGCGCCTCCAGGCGAATTGAGATACATGTGGATGGGCTTGGAGGGGTTCTCGGACTCGAGAAAGAGGAGCTGAGCAACGACAACATGGGAAGTGTCGTCATTGATGGGTCCATTGATGCAAATGATGCGCTCCTTGAGAAGCCTCGAGAAAATGTCATAGGCTCTTTCCCCTCGAGACGAGTGCTCTATGACCATAGGCACAAGTCCATACCGCCTCCGAGAAACGTAAGCACTCTGAATTTCGCAGCAAAGCGGCAGGGCTCTTGAAATAGGGGTGGCTGCGATCCCATTCCAGAGCATGCGATTAATGAGGTGGCGCATGGTGTTCAGGAAATGGAGGAGAAAAGAACTAGATTAGGGTTTGGGGTGTTAGGAGAAAATCGATCCCATTTCAAGCTACGTACTGCCTTCCTGAATTCTTCTGTAAAAGTCTGTAAAAGTGGGGGTTTTGGGAAAACAATATGTGTAGACACTTAGACATGGGAAATATGTGTAAACTATGATGTTAAAAATGTGTAAAAATGTGTTCAGAAGCTGGCACTTCCCGACATAAAAAAAAAAAACTGATTCAAATTAGAGCACCAGAAGTGCTTCTGGAATTTCACTCAAACACTCCAGCTTCTGTTTCTACTCCCTGAAGAAGTAAAATCAGTTTTGTAGGAGTAAATTAGAGCACCAAAAGTGCTTCTGGAATTTCAGTCAAACACTCCAGCTTCTGTTTCTGCTCTCCGAAGAAGTAAAATCAGTTTTGAGAATCACATCCAAACACCTCCTAATATGTATTGTCATTTTCATCGTGACTCTTACTTGATTGTAGCCCCTATTTGATGAAATTCTTTGGTAACGTTTTATCAATTAAATAAGTAATTGAAGGCTTAATGGAACCAAGTGATGGTACCATAGATTCGGACCATGGCCCAATTACATAATTCAGCCCATAACGGGATTAGCCTAATTAACAGGATTAGCCCATAAACGGGATCAAGCCCATAAACGGGATTAATGTTCGAATATGTTGTCAGGCCCAAATAGGGATTAGGCCCACGATAGGAACCCACAGCCAGGCCGGGCTGCACAGCAGACCTCGAGCCTAGGCGGAGTTCTAGTGAGGTCGGGATATCCCTCAGGTTACGTGGCAAGCAGTTATTCAGCATAGTTATTTGACAACAGGCAGGACTCGTCCGGAGTTTGGAAACAAGAAGGAGACAATTAATGTTTGACATCCAAGGCATGAGAGGAGTTCTATTTTGAGCAAGAATATAGTTCATTAATTAGCATTTATTGTATGAGATTCCTTCTAAAATAATGACTCCTAAAGTCTATAAATACTTCTTGTGAACACCCTACCCGGGAAAGGCACGATTCGTCCTTTGGAGTAAGAGTATATTGCCTTACGTTGTCATATTCTTTCATACTTTTCATACGTTTCTCATACCTTTTGGTAGATTTAGCTCTCGTAGTTGGATTAAATTCCATCACCAAGTATATTATTTACCAATACACTCTTATTAAATACTCCCTCCGTCCCCTTAACTTTGTCCCGTTTTACCTTTTTCGTCCATCCCATTAAGTTTGTCTCATACCATATTAGGAAATATTTGAGTGGTTATAAATCATTCTTACTTTATTTACACTTTACCAATTCAATACCAACCACACAATTCTACTTTTTCTTAAAAACTGCACCACACTCCTTTGTCCCAAACTTAGGGAGACGGAGGTAGTACTACGTATATGTATTGTTCATCAATATTTTTTATAAAATCGTACTACTAGTGAGTGCTCTCTTTTAAAAGAGCATCAAGCAATTAAATTTTTGACATCTATTTACTCTTAAGTACCAATAATCTTTAACTATCACACACACCCATACATACACACACTCACACTCATAAGTGATTTATTGACAATTTGGCAGTGTTTTATAATATTTCATTTTCACTTCAATGAGATGTTTATGGATTTTGTAGACACTTTTCTATGATGCATTTATGTGTTATCTCATACACATAATCTTGATTGTATCATGACAGTGAGCGAAAGTTGAATTATAGTGGGGTGTTTGGTTAAGAGCCGATCAACCATTTTTTGGCTGATTTGACTATATTTAGTTTTTTGACCAGATGAATAAGTTAGATATGAATGCATGTAGATATGACTGCCTTTTACCTGCTTGTTGATGTTTGTATTATTTGTTCGATACTTCTAGGAATGCTGAGGTTGCCCAGCCTTGATTTAGGCTGGCTTCTTCTTTTGGGGATTTCTGAATTTTCTGGGAAGTTGACCTCTGATTTTGAGCCTGTGTACCCTTGGAGCTCGGGGATGACCTCCATGTCTCCCTATATTTGCTAAATCCACCAGACTGTTTTCCATCACTTTTGTCCTTATCGGTTTAGGCCTTGAATTTCCGGTCAAGGTCACTTTCCTTAGGCTCTTAACTTTTGAGCCAGATTAGAAAACTTTACCAATTCTGAACCCTTAGGTTCTCATTGTCTGAACCAAATAGGGTGGTTTTTGACTTTTAGGTCAGTTGAGCCTTGTGATGAACCTCTTAATTGGCGAGGCCTGTGGGCCTCTCCGGTGCAAAGTTAATTCCCTTATTTCATCTTTAGCCTTGTAAAATCAGTCTTAACCTTGAGAAAAGTTGTCTTTTCCTGTTTGAGGAAATATGATTTTGATTGTAAGGCTGTTTAACCTTGAAAAAGGTTGTTTGTTCCCGCTCTCGTCTTTAGTAAGACTAGGTTGAGCTTCAGAATTTAGATGAGCCTGGAATTTATACTTTGGCTTTTTGCAAGTACCAATTAAGCATAACCTAACTTTTTTTTGGGGTGGTTAAGAAACCTTCGCAAGTAGTTTACAAGGACATTTGTGAAAGGAAACAAACTTTTATTAAATCAACTCAAAAAAGGAACTACATATTTACTGGTAGGATTTCATCAAGTGTTCAGAATTCCACACCCCATCTACCAGTTTTCCCTTAGGAGTACATAGTTTATAGGTCTCGGGCCCAATGATCCCTTTGACTTTGTAAACCCCTTCCCAGTTTTTCGCAAACTTTCCACCCTCCAGGGATATTCTAGCAGACCTCCTTCTCAAAACCGAGTCTCCGACCTGAAACAGTTGTCGCCTGACCCTGGCGTCGTGGTATTCTTTAACTTGTCTTCTATAATTTTCAGCCCTGATGAAAGCATTATCCCTTAATTTTTTCCTCAACTAGGTGCACCTCTGCCCTCAACATTTCTTCATTATCCTTAGGGTCATAGTCTTCCACCCTTTTATTTGGGACCAGTGCTTTCAATGGTGCTTGAGCTTCAAAACCATAAGTTAGGGCAAAGGGGATTTCACCAGCAGCTTTCCTTGGGGTTATGCGATATGCCCAAAGTATATTGTTGAGCTCATTCACCCAAGTCGTTCCCATAGACTCCAATTTCTTCTTGAGGCCATTAACAATAGTCATGTTTACATTTTCCACATACTCGTTTCATTGAGGATAAACAAGAGATGCCCTGCTGGCCTCAACCCCCCGTTGCTCACAAAATTCCTTAAATGGTTTAGAGTCAAACTGTTTCCCATTATCAGTAATGATTTGCATAGGAACACCAAATCGGCAAAACTTATTTCTCCAAACGAATCTCTTGCATTGCTGAGCAATGATTGTGGCCATTGGCTCAGCCTCAACCCACTTAGTAAAATAATCAATTGCAACAATAACAAACTTTCGACCTCCCAACCCGGATGAAAGGGCCCAACGAGATCGATTCCCCATCTAGAGAAGGGAACTGTTGTGCTAATGGGGGTGTAGAGGGTGGCAGGCTTGCCAGGGTTTGTTTAGAACTTCTGGCAACCCTCACATCTTCGTGTAAAATCCACACAATCCTTTATCATTGTAGGCCAGAAATATCATTGCAAAAGGACTTTTCTACTTAAAGTAAACGCACCTTGATGTGATGAGCAAGTCCCCTCGTGCAGTTCTTTGATTACTTGTTGACCCTTTTCTGGCCGTAGGCATTTTAAGAGCATGCCATTATAACTTCTTTTGTAGAGTGCCATTTTCAATGACATAGTTTGGAGCTCGTCTCCTGATAACCATGCTTTTTTCTTCGTTCGATGGTAGTGTTCCATCTTCCTTGTATTCTATCAGCTCTTGAACCCAAGATTTTGGAACCTGGCTGATAGGTAAGACCTCCTGGTCTTTTGTGACTTCAATGCTTGATTTGTTTAGCTCGTGTACCCGAGCTATGCGCATAAGATGCTCAGGTGCATCTGTTGTCAACTTTGATAAGATATCTGTTTAAGTATTCTGGGCTCGTGGAACACACACCAGGTCGGATTCCTCAAATTGTCTGATGAGCTTCAGGACTGCATCCCTATACCTTTGCATTCGTGTTTCTTTGGCTTCATATACCTCTCTAAGTTGTTTGATTACCAACTTAGAATCGTTTTTACCCTCAGTTTATGGTTTTGAAGTGATTTGATATCCTGAGGCCGGATAGTAGGGCCTCATATTATGCTTCGTTATTGGATAGGTTGAACATATATCTGAGGGCGTAGTAAGTTTTGAAGCCTCAGGGGTGATGAGGACCATCCCTCCTCCGCAACCTTTGGACCCTGATGATGATCCATCAGTCATCAGGATCCATCAATCTTCATCTCCATGGCGTTTTTCCTCAGCTGCATCCATAGCAGTACATTCAACTACGAAGTCTGTCAAGGCTTGACCCTTGATTGATGTTCTAGGTTGGAAACTTATTTGGTACTGCTGATCAGCAAGGACCACTTCACAACTCTTGTTGTCTTGGTTGTTCTGAACAGAGTGCCTACCCCCAGGTCGGACAACACCTTGATAGGGTGAGCCTCAAAGTAATGTGTCAGTTTCTTTGCTGTTACGTAAACTGCAAGTGCGGTCTTCTCTAGGGCTGGGTACCTGAGCTCAGCCCCATGGAGGACCTTGCTGATGTAGTAGGCCGTTTTTTGTACGGTCCCCTCCTCACGCACCAAGACAGAGCTGACTGCACTTTGAGTTACCCCCATATAAAGAATAAGGGTCTCATCGAGTTCAGGCTTACTAAGCAGCAAGTCTGATTGTAAGTGCTCTTTGAGGTCTTCAAAGCCAGTTTGGCACTCTGGGGTCCATTGGAACCCATTGCTCTTCTTTAGGACTTGGAAAAATGGCAAAGACTTGTCTGCTGACCTAGATAGAAATCTCCCAGGGTTGTCAGCCTACCAGTGACGATTTGGACTTCTTTGACATTTCTGGGAAGTTCCATGTCCAAGATGGCCTTTACTTTTCTGGGTTGGGCTCGATACCCCTATGTGTTACCATAAATCCCAGAAATTTCCTTCATTGAACTGCAAAAGTGCACTTTTTAGGATTGAGTCTCAGGTTTACCTTATTCATGATGCCGAAGACTTCCCTGAGATCATGTGCATGATCACTTGCTTTCTGGCTCTTCACGATCATATCATCAAC